TTGACAAAGATACAAAATCATTTTATTGTTTTCAATAGTAGTCCTGAAAAAATTAATGAACTTCCAACTATGCCTTGCACTATATATCAATATACTCTGAGTAGTTATAGGTTCAAAGGTAAAGCCTAAGCATATAAAACTTTTAAAAGAAAATGAGACAAAAATACGTGACATTAGGAAAAGAAGCTAAAAGCATGACTCAAAGAAGAAAGAAATATTGGTAAATTGCATTTATCAAAAGTTAAAAATCCTCTTTTCAAAAGAGACAGTTAAAACAATTAGATAAGTCAAACCCTTGAATAAAGTCCAGAATATCCAAACTGTCAAAACTCAATAATGTGAACAAGTGTCAACAACAAATGAACAAAAATTTGACAGTGTAACTGTCACACTTGCCAGAAGTGATTGGTCCGGGAGTAGGCACCCAGGTGGTCCATTCAGAAGCCACCCCATTGAATTTGGAGTTGTGCCTAAGATTTCACTTCTCCTAGATGGTCAGATGAAATAAATGTAAGCATTTAGAGCTGTGATTCAAAATGGCCAATAAGCAACAAAGATGCTCAGTTGCATTAGTCATTAAAGAAATACAAGTCAAAACCACAATAAAATTAGTTCATACCTAGCAGAATTGCCATATGATTTGGAATCTCTACTACTAGTTATATACTCCAAAGAACTGAAAGCAGAAAGTCAAACAGATATTTGTACATTTATGTCTGTAGCAGCATTGTTCATGGTGGTCAAAAGGTGGGAATAGCCTGGATGTCCATCAACAGATGAATGGATAAACAAAATGTAGTATATAAACAAAGTGCACTGTTATTCAGCCGCTAAAGAATTACATTTTTATATGTGACAATATGGATGAGCCATGATATATTATGATAAATTAAATAAGCCAGATGTATGTGAAGTCCATCTTGATTTTCAATTTACTTGGCTTGAGAGATGCCTAGATTTGTGCAGCAACAGCTGAGTGTGTTTTCTGTTGGTTGTTCAGGGCATGACCTTGGGCACTGTATCTGGTCCCTCTTCCCCTGCCTTCTGTTCCCTGGATGCCATGAATTGAGCAGCTACCCTCCCACATGCCCTTTGGATGTGTTGTTTATGACTTGGAGGCCCCAGCCACTGACTGAAACCTCTGCAGACATAAGCCAAGAAAACCTCTCCAACTTCCAGTTGCAGGTGCCAGTGTTTTGTCCCAGCAACAGGAAAGCTAACACAACATACAAGGATGAATAATGTATGATTCTATTATGTGAGATACCTATAGTGGGCAAATTCATGGAGACAGAAAGTACCAGCTATCAAAATCCGGGAGCAGGGATGAGGACTCAGTCCTGTTTAATGTGTACAGAATTCATGTTGAACGTGATTTAAAGTTTGAGGTACAGACAGTGGGGGTAGTTGCACAATATTTTGCATGTATTTTAAAACCACTGCACTGCATGCTATACATATGCTTCCGTGTGTTGTGTGAGTCCAGGAAAAACCACACATGAAGAAAGTGGTCTCTGGCTATCATTTCCCCTGGGATAAATTTACATTCCTACCTGGAGGATAGGTCTTTATATTTGTATTTATCCTTATGTAAATAAAACTCTTGGTTTTGTTTTTTCAGAGAAGCTCAAGTTGATCTTGTTACTTTAATTTGAACTTAAATAGTTTTAACTAACCAACTTTGGTGAATTTTTAACGAGTTGTTTGTAGACTCTCACTTCCCTCAGTGTTAGTTAAGAGTCGAGAAACCAACCAACAGCAACACAAAGCAGTTTCCACACCTCATTTCCCTGCATGTCCCTGTAAAGCAAAATTGTAATAGTCTTCTAGTTTTAGTCTCACACAGGATTACTGCACTGTAAGACATAAGGCTCTGGGTTCAACATCTGGTGTTACTTTCTTAAGGGAAGCTATCCAGACAACAGAAATCTAGCAGCAGCCTGGGGAACTGGGGTAAGGACCTGAGACTTGTGTAATAGTTTCCCCAGCTAATTTTATCTCTGAGATCAACCAGATTTGACTGCCTAAAGGGTTATAAATTAACTTGGAGAACTTTCGGGGCGGGGGGGGGGTCTTAAGAATGGAGAGGATTCTAGTACAGAATTGCATAATGGATCATAATCAACAAAAGAATGTTTTGGGGCAAGGTCTGATATCACTCTACGGTAATCATTACAAATACAAACAGAAAAAAACTTTAAGAAACACTTTTCATCTTCCAAAATATATAATGAAAAGCACTTTGAGTTTTTCCTTTAATCTTGACACAATTATATAAAATAAAATAATATCCTTACTCTTTCCAGCTATAGATTAGGAAGCTGAGACAACGGTCAGGAACCCATATTTCAGCTCATTTGTCAATACTCGTTAGGTCTTTTCTGTCTCTCTCTAGTTAATGCCGCAGATTAAGAACCCCGGCTTGGGGCCATATTGATGTCAGCTAACGAAGGGCCACTTCCTAGTCAGCTGGGATGCAAAGCTCTCTGCTATGGTTTTTCCTTCCCTACTAAGTATGCCCACCTCTCAGAGCACCGAGTGACTTAAACTGTGTGAAGCCCTCCAAATGCTGCTGGGACCTGCTACTTGCGCTCTAGTCATAATCTACACTTTATTCTTGTATGGCCATTTCCTCCTGGCTTTGTTGAGTCTCTGTGGTTCCTGTAGAAACATCTTCAATCAGACTTTGCTGTTCTAAGTTTCACAGCCAAGCTTGTCAGCTTTATGGCTGCCAAAGAGATCGATCGAAAGACCAATGCCCTAAGGGGAGGTGGGTAGAAGTGGGACCCGGACAGATGCTAAGTCTCTAAGTTGCTGCCACAATGCACAGGCTGAACAGCTAGGTGTCTCTCTGGTTCACAGGAGGACAAAGGAGGCACGGTGGTGCCCGGGTGGTGCCCACCCTTCCAGGTGGACGATAGGTCCTTTGCTCGCCTCCTCGGGCCCCTCTATCCTGTCACCAAAGACTGGAGAACATTTCAGGATGGAAGGAAGGGCACAGGGGAGATGCTTCAAAGTAGATGTTTTATTTTCAAACAGAAGCATAAAAAGGCAGAATTATATCATGAAGGAAATCTTCAAGGAATAAAATATTGCCTTTAAAGGGTTATTTTGGGGCAAGGGTTTGACATTGAGAGATTGTAGCTCTGGGATGTCTGTCACCAGGAAAGAACAGTGTGATCCAGGAGGGCTGCACTTGTGTTTATTTCTGAGCAAGTTTGCAAGAGAAGGAGGACAGAGTTACTGAGTAATGCACAGAGCTCGAATAAGCCTATTCTTTCTGGGTACCGGAAATGTTACTGATAGTGGATCTTGAGTTCCATAGGTCCCGGCGGAAAGTGTTTGAGAACTGGAGAGAGACAGGAGAGGGACAGAGTTTTAAAAGGATTAGAAGAGAAAGATGTCCTGGGTGTCGGGGCTCCTTGAGGATTTAAGATGGTTCAACCTGTGATTTTTCAACTTTACAATGGTACAAAAGCAATACATGTTCACTAGGAGCCATACTTCCATGTCGATGTCATCCCTGGCTAGCACTGTGTGGGGAGACAGCCCTCACACCAGCCGCTCCCACCAGCCACACGGTCAGGTCAGAACAACCCACGTTCCACAGCGTGGTGCTGACCTCTGGTGTCAGTAGTTAAGTGTTAGGTGTGCTAAGTGCATTCTTTGACTCAAGGATCCTTTGCACAATATTTTATTATGATATAACCCCATAGCAAGCTGAGAAGCAGCCTGCATAGTAACTGGCAGCCATGTGAGTGTTGGATTTCTGGGGCACCGGGTGAAGCCATTAGAAGTGGTTTGCTGAATATTCTCAGCATATGAAAATGCTCACTGTATGTTTGCATGTCAGAGACGCTGACAACAGAGATAAATAGAAATACATGCTTATTTGTTTTTTCAAGATCCTAACTCCAAAAAGTCTTCAAAGCAATCTAAAGTGTAATGTAGGTAAAAGAGCAAGAGGCACCCTTATACTAGACCAGTGTGTGAATACTCTTTTTCTGTTGTCGGTTTTTCTATTGGCAAGAGGAAAGAAAGGCTGAGAAATGGGTTTTGCTTTGGAACCAGTTCATTGTCAAGTCAAAGGTGAAGAACAAAGATCTTGTTCCATTCATTCTTCTCAGAGCCCTGAAGTAAGACATTCAGAGAAGAGAGCTGGCAGAAAGCACATTAAAAGGAAAACTCTCCAGATTTATATACCCTGAAAAATAGTCTGTTTTATTTAAGCATCAACCCAACCACTAAAACTTTACAAATATATTTAATCAATGACTTACTCACTGCAGTCAGAGTCAAGCTTTCTCCGAACAAAATTCTTTTTTGTAATTATAAAAGTAAAACAACATCACTGTTAAAACTGGGAAATTAAAAAATATCTAAAAATAATGAAATAATCCATAATTTTACCATCCAAGTGAAATACTGTTAACATTTTGATATATCTATAAAGATAGATGCTTTGCATGTGATTTCAAACATACTTAGCCTGTAATTTTATTCATTGCCTTCTTCTTTTTGCATCACATCAGAGCAAATTTTATTTCCATCAAGTAACATTTTTTAGGCCTGGCTTTTTAAACCTGCATAGTACCCATGTTATGATGTAGACATAATTTAGTTTATTTGACCATTTATCCGTTCTGGAAATTTAGGATGGTTTCAAAGGTAAAGTTTATACTACATGTATACTTTCCTACGATTGAAAGAGTGACAGAAGGAGTCTCTCAACGTTTATAAGCATTTCCCTGATTTGGAAAGGAAGATGTGATCGTGAAAGTGGAGAAAACATTTGTTTTGGTGGACACTGGGCACAGGGCCAGTGCAGGGGATGACAGCAGTGTTCTCACAGGAGCAGGGGGAGCCTGAGGGGACCCAGAGGGAGGAAAGGTGTTCTGAATACAGATGCGGCAGCTAATCAGCGTGGGAGACCAAAGGTTCATTGTTCCCGTGCATGCGTTATTTGGGAACAATGAACAGAGCTCTCAGAGGCGCAAGCCTTTTGTTTTGTTTTGTTTTGTTTTGTTTTGTTTTGTTTTGTGGGGTGATCAAACAGGGCAGACCTTGAAATGAAACTTCTAACCCCTAACCATATGTTCAAAAGGGAAAACAATAACAAAAGTCATAAGGAAAGGCTGTTTTAGATAAACAAAGGAGAAACCAAGAACAAGGAAAGCATTCCAAAGTGGAAAAAGGAAAGAGTAGATTTTCTGACACTTACGTGGACAGTATGCAGCAGCAGGAACTCAATGCTATGTGCTACAAGTTCCTTAAATATTCAGACGTTCTGAAATGCTAGCTCATCCACAGGACACCTTTGCTTAAAGACGGACTCAAGTAAAATCACGCCACTTGCAGGAAAATGGATGGAACTGGATCATCATGTTAAACAAAATCAGCCAGACTCAGAAAGCCAAGCACCATTCTCCTATGTGCTGTGTAGCAACGAACAAAGGAAGGAGGCAAGGAAGGAAGGAAGGCAGGGAGGGAACCTGAAAGGAGCGCAGAGACTACTAAGAAAAAGAAAAGGAGCCAGGAGAAGGAAACAGAAGAAGGGAGGGCGAGAAAGGGTGGTAGGGAGGGTGGATACAATTACTACAGGACACATCCATGTATGGAAAGGTCTAGTGAAGCCCATTAATTGGTGCAAGTAATGTATTCATATTTATAATTTAAAAAATAAAGATAACTTCATCAAGTTATAGGATACAGTGTCATTGTAAAAGCCCTATGATCCCAAAAGAGACAAAATGCTTTCATTTTCCCCATCAATTAGCAAACATTTATTAACAATTTCACCTCTGTTGATAAAAAATTTCTAAACATCCCTGTTAATTTGTTAATGTCTTTCAATTATCTGATCCATGGCTTCTTTCTCTTATATTAATTAACTTGCTATATTCATGTTTTTAATTATTTTTTTACATCATTGGCTACAGTCACTACATTCATAAATGACAAATTGATCAATACTAAATCAATACAGAAAACTAGCATGTTAAGTGCTGTACTTTCTTTATGCCAGGTATAGTGCTAAGCATCTGATATGCATTACATTGCTTAATTCTCTAGCTCTGATAATTCATTCTAATTGGAATCCACGCATTCTAATTTCCATTTTACTGCTGAGAAAGCATTTTGAGTTCTGATTGGTTAAGCAACTCCACAAAGTAAGCAGGAGAGTGAAAATTTAAGCCCAGCTTGAGTTTTAAGCCATGTCACGTATGCAAAGGGCCTCCTCCAAGTTGTTGTTAAATTTCTGGTACATTTCCTAAGTCATTTCAACTGAATTTTACAGCTATGTTTCAGAACTTTTCCTTATTTTTCAATTATTGTAATGAAACTGGAACAACTTCCAAAATAGCCATAGCCCTAAAATATTTGCTAGATGGCCTTTTGTGAAAATGTCTGCAAATTCTTTGTCTTAAGTTTTCCATCCACATATGTCTTCTGGGAGATGATATCCTCTATTCCCAATGCAAGACATCTTCTTGGGTATGGGCTGACCAAAACATAGGAAAGAGTTATGGGGGAGGATTTTACTACTGGCATTTGAGAACCTCCGAGAAGTCTTGACAACATAAAAATCAAAAGCCTGCAGAATGGTCAAAAAGAGCAAAAATCCTTTTCTGGTCCTTACAGAATTTATTGACGGGGTAAACTGCCACATAGACATCATAGCAGGAATGGAACCTGTTAGAGAGATTTTCTGCGACCTAGCAATACTTTGCAAGCTTGGGGAAACTAGATTGTTTGTTTTGCTTCTTGACCAGGATATAGCAGTGCAATCACAAAATTTACAAACACCCTGATGCATGCTGAACTTTCTCTGACCCTGCTTATCTACCCCAAAGAATATCAAGTCATGATCTACTTCTTGTTTGAAAATCCCAAGTCTATATTCCTTCCACTTTGCTTTTATCTTATGATTTCTTGGCTTACACTCTTAATATTCATCATTCCTTCCACCAAGGGGGAAGGCATGGCATTTGCAGTCAATCCTATGTGGTTCCAAAGCCTGACTTCACCTCTCTTTCTGGTAGAACTCAGGGAAGTTACTTGGACTCTGAGCTTTGGTGTCTCCAAAGGAAAATGAGTCCAACAGTCCAGACCTCATGAGTATTACCTGAATGGATGTGTAGGAGGTGCACTTTTAATTCCTTTGGTTCCATAAATGTCTCGTTTACGTCTTGTTTTCAGAGTTTCCTCTTGAAGGGCTCAAGACTAAACCATTCTACCAAATGCTGCTGCTGCATGATTCCCAGACCTGACCCTGTATAAATCCCTGCCCAGGAGCCTCCCTGAGTCCTTGAAGGTGAAGGAACAGTGGGCATGGGGATGTGAAAGTCAGTGCGGAGGAGAAAACAGCACATGAGGTGTGACTGAACTAGGCAATGAATGTTACAGTTGTTTTCAATTATTACAGAAAAAGACACATTTCCATGAGTCCCCCTCATAATCCTCCTCCCTCCTTAGCCTATCCTTCTGCCACTTTCTAAATCTCTTCTGGAAGTCCTCTTTCCTGCATGTCTTTATGAGGTATGATCAAAAATATGGTACATGATGTTGCCAAGTGTCTTCCAAAGGAAAGGCAGCTCATGTAAACATGCCACTGTGTCCTCATCCATATTCACAGGATCTGCCACCGTGAGACTTCCGGCTCTTCCCTAAATCGAATGACAACAAAAGGTAATGTTTTGAATCGATTCAGGACATAAAAGCAGTCATGACAGCACAACTAAAGATACTCGTGAAAGAAGACCTCCAGAGCTGCTCCAGAAAGTGGCAAGAAAGATGCATGCGTGTGCTGGAAGGGAGGGCGAGGGTTTTGAGGGGCATTCATGCTCATGTGTTTTTCACTGTAACACATTTTTCTAACTGAAACACTCGCCATAGTTTCTGACCACACTTCCCACTTACTGTTCTCCCCCCTTTCTGTGGACGGTTGGAGCTGCCGATGAGGATGGGCTGCTGCTCCCCAGGAGGTGGTGCCAGGACAGTTCTTTGGGGGGTGTCACTTGGAGGCAGGGAAGAACGGTGGCTAAGGGTATTAGTCTTGAAACCAAACCAAATGTTTCTGTCCATTCCAAGCCTGCCCCAGTTGGATGGCTCTGCTCTTGTTTCTTTTCCTTTCTGAGCCTTGGCCTCCTTGACTGAGAAATGAGAATAACATCAGCACCTAGCTCTTCTGCTCTGGCTGCCATAGCAAAATATTGTACTGAGTGCTTAAACAATGAAAATTGTCTGTCATTATTCCAAAGAGCGGGAAGGCCACTATCAAGGTATTTTTTATTCTGAGGCCTCCTCTCTCTGCTCCTTGGTGGCTGTTACCTTGCTTGCTCGTGATGGGGGAAGGCAGCAGAGGAGGGAGATGGGGAGGACAGAACTCAGCCTCTCCCTTTTCTCAGAAAGACACTAATTCCATCACCGGAGCCTGGCACTCATGAACAGTTAGATGAAATCAGAGGCCGAAGAAGTTGACAGAAGGGTGTATGTGTGTGTGTGTGTGTGTGTGTGTGTGTGTGTGTACACATGCATGTGTGAATGTGTTGGGTAGCTAAAAGAACGGAAAAAGGTGGATGTTAAGCTAAAGGCAAAGTAATAAGATCAATACCAGACCAGGTGGACTTCAGGCGGACCAATGTGGAGCTGCACCAATCCCCTGGAGGTCAGAGAAAGATACCTGTGGCTTTAGAAAGTTCATGTAGCTTATCTGTGGCATACATTCATGGGCAAAACAATCCTAACCCAACATCAAATTTTACTCTGTCCCTTTTCTGCATGGGAAGCCTGAGGCTCAGAGAACAAAGGCAGCCTTTCAAGCTGTGCATGTGGTAAGAATGACTAGCCATGGGGCTTTCGGGCTGGATGAACAGTCGATGACGTCAGAGAGTAAAGCAGGGCAGCCCCACCGACGGCTATGAAATGATGGACTGAAGGAGAAGAACAGGAAGCACGTCCACCCTGGTCAGAAGGGTGACAGGCCTGCCCAGCTGCAGCCTCCAGTCCAGGCCCAGCCACAGCGCGGGGCTCTCAGCCGCTGAAGACTTAGTGTACCCTCAGCGGCCGCTCGCTGCTCCCAGCAGCCCTTTCGGGCTATGTGACCCGTCCCATCCCGGTGTAGACAGAGCCCCCAAAGGGTAGATCACAAAGTCCATGTCTGCTCACAGCTGTGGGCTTCTCAGGGTGTCCCTCGTGCCCTCACACCGAAGCCAGCAACCTTTCAGGATTCCTAATTCGGGCACCGCTTGAGGAAGAAACCGCTCCAGTGTCCCCGCCCTCCTGGGTATGGCTGGACAGAGTAGGACTGGACGTTCAGCCGCGCTGGTCAGTTCTTCCTTCTGCGGCAAATCCATGCTCCTAGCCTAAGACGCCTCCTACAGCCCCACTCCTGCCTCAAGCCTGACTTTACGTTTCCTCCCTGTGAGGGTAGGGGCTGAGCTGCTGCAAGTCAGAGAGAAGAGGAAGAAATCTGAATCCTCGGCTGCTGAGAGCGAAAGCTTTGACGGCGGCTCTTACAGTATTGGGCCGGGGACACAGGGAGCCCGCGCTGAGCTCAGAGATGCGGATGTTTTTATCTCTTTTCCTTTACATCAGAGCATTTTTAAGTAGCAATTGGACCCGGGCCCCGCGGGCCTGAACTAGAGGTGCGGGGACCGAGTGGGAGAAGGGACTCGCGCGGCAGGGACGCGCTGCAGTCAGCCCTGGGACTGCAGAAGCGCTTGGGGCCTGGCTCCTGTCCGGGCCAGTTGAGCCCTTCCCTGACGTACGAAACAGGAAATGAATCACTCAGATGGTGAGCAGGTGCGGCGGTGGGCGCAGTGGGCAGGACCCACGGTTCTCGAGCATCCCCGTGCCCCGCCCCGCCCCGCCCCGCCCCGCCCAGCAGGTGCAGCACAGGCTGCGCCCCCTCCACGCTTTCCCCGAACTCCGGGGACGCAGAGGACGGAGGGCCAGACTAGCGCGGACGGGCGAGGGATCTTAGGTAACCGTGACGCGGGTCCCTAGACCGAGAACGGTCCAGCCGGGGCAGCCCCAGCCCGGAGCAGCAGCTGCGCCTCGGGGACGCCCGGGCCGGTGCCTCCCTGCCAATCCTCCTGCAGCCTGCTCACCGTCCTGAGGGGGTGGGGCCCCTCGGGCACCAGGACACCTAGGCTCGGGCTATGACTGGCCTGGATGAGTGTCAATCCTCCGAGGCCCCGCCTCCAGACCCTCCCATTTGCAGCAGGCCGATGCTCTGGCACCCCCTGTAGGCCGCGAGCGGGACCACATTCAACACCAAGAGCACCTAGGCGCGCGCCGGGACCGCTCCCGAGTTCTCCTTCGGGTCCGCTAGCTCGGGCCCCGTGCGGCCGAGAGACGGTGGGGCGGCGCGATCCCTGCTCGGCGGCGGCTGCTCAGCAAGCGCTCTCAGCGGGGCTGCGCTGGGCCCGTCTCGGGGACCCTGCGGCGACCTCGTCCCTTCGCCACCCGCAGTTGTGGGGGCGCAGGGACCCGGGCCCCCGCACGGACAACCGAGCACGGAGCACTGAGTACGGAGCACCGCGCGGATGTACCCGGACCGGAGCGCCACTCTGCGCTCCCAGGAGGGGCCAGGGGTAGGGAGGGGCCGGATCGGACCTTGGGAGGCGGGGTGTTTGGCCCCCAGCCGGCTCCGCAGGACGAGCCGGGCTTCCGGGCTCTCACGGCGTCCAGGCAAGGCCCGAGTCTGCGGCTCCGTGGCTTCCCAGCTCCTGAGCAGCGTGGGCTCCCAGTTCCCGCAGCACAGAATCTGTTGGAGGAGATGAGGAAGACCCGGCTCCGCCCCCATGAGGCGAGCCCTGGGTGCATGAGATGCGCGCCAAGTGTGTGTCGGGGGAGGGGGGTCTGGCAAGAGCGCACGCGCCGCAGCACTGAGCCCCGGGCTGGACCGGAAGGTGGGCAGCGGCTCGCCAGTGTCCCGGCCCCCTCGGTTTCCCGGCTTCCGGCCAAGTGTTGCTCCTGAAAAGTACCCCTGAGACAGTGGGCAGCTGCTCTCAGAGTGACGCCGGCAGAGGAGAGCTGGGTGAAAGCACCGGTTCCACAGAAGACTTCGATCCGAACCGGACTCCCCAGTTTACAAATGAGCAAGCAGATCCCTGCAGGGTGCAGGGAGAGGCAAAGAGCCCCCTGGTCCTTGGGTGCCTCTCTCCTGAGAGAGAAGTCACTGGTTCCGCCCCCACAGAACTCTGCTGCAGGCTCAGGGAAACAGGAAGTGGGGAACACAGGGGTCCACCCCGGCCCTCTCTGGGTGGGGACTTTGGACACCCCTACCCCACCCCAGCCGGAGCCCAGGCGCTGGGCCTTGCTGCCCTCCCACACGGGTCATTCCTCACTGTCCTCACCTGCAGGATGTTCCTGTGAGCTTTTCTGCGTCACGGCAGTGTGTACTGGTAACCAAGCCTGGTGCTGCTTGACCACAAAGCCAAGGTAACATTTTAACGCCCTTGGCTACCACTTCTGCCATCTGGGTTTTTTTGGGTCTGTTTCTATTCATCAGTGTCTCTTTTCCTGTTATTTTCCTCTCCTGAGACAGTCACTCAACATGCAGCCCAGCCTGCCTTGCATCCTCCTGCCTCAGCCTCCCAAATGCTGGGATTACAGGTGTGGTCCACCATGCCACTGCCCACTGGCTTGCCCTCCCACGCTCTTTGTGGTGCTGGGGATCAAAACCAGGACCTGTGCATGCTCAGGAAATGTTCTACCACAAAGCTACATCTCGAACCCTCAACTCTCACACTTGCCATCCTCCTGCCTCCAGAATGCTGGAACTAGAGCAGCTTTTAATCTAGGGCCTTGTTATGGTTTGGATGCTACATGACCCCACAGGCCTCTGGATTAGAGGTTTGCTCCCCAGGGGGAACCTTGGAGAGGTGGTACTTGGGAGAGTCTGTAGGTCACAGGTAGTGTGGCCTCAGCAGGGACTGTGTGCCCCTAGTCAATGTAGCAATTTAGAAAAAAACTGTCTCAATAAATAAAGGACTGAAGAATTTTAAAAAGAACAAGAGTGGAGGTGTAGTTCAGTGCAGAGGCCCTGGGTTCAATCCTCCATACTGAAAAAGGAAGGCAGGAAGGGAAGGAGGGAGGGAAGAAAGAGAAGGAAGAGGAGGGAGCAGGAAGGGAAAAATAAAAGAAAATGATTCAAAGAATGTTATGGCTGTGTTTAGACGTTGCCTCAGAGCCACATGTGGTCATAGGTGGAGCTTTTCGGAGGTAGCTGGGTCAGGGTGTATAACGCTGGGATGAAGGATTTGATGCTGGGATTGATTCACTGTGTGATGCTAAGACTAAAGGTGTGAGTACTACTCACCCTAAGGCCAGGTAGCCTGGATAAGTTATAAGGGACACAAAGAGCTGTGCTCCTCGCTTGTTGCTTGTAGCTTGCTGGGTTGGCTGCCCCCTGCCTGCCATGGACTGTTTCTCCTCTGCGATGCCCTCTGCCATGCCACCTGGCCTTGAAGCCAGAGTTGACTATGGACTGAAACTGCTGCAAACTGTGAGCTAAATAAACCTTTTCTAACTTTGGGTGTTAGATATTTTGTCTCAGCGATGAGAAAAAGTAACTGAGATAAAGAATAAAAGATTCAATCCCATTAGTAATTAGGAAATAAGTGTTAAAACCACTAGTAAACTTCCATTTCTCGCCCAAACGATTGTCCAACATTAAAAGTTGGACAATACAGGGGCCAGGGATTTAGCTCAATGGTTCTGCCACCTGCCCCAAAAGCACAAGAACTCAAGTTTGATTCCTGGTACAAAAAAAAAAAGTTGGAGAATACAAAATTTTAAAGAACATGTCAAGTAACGAAGACCCTTATTTCCCACTGCTAGGAGTGCAAACAGATACAATCATTTTGTAATATAAATTGACAGTACCTAAAAAGAGTAAATAAGCATTTATCCTCAAGTTGAGCAACTGTAAGTCTACCCTGAAAGGCTTTTGCACATGTGCACATGGAAACAACCTCCAGGGTCTGGCTCAGGGAGCTGTGCTAGGGTTTTGGAGAAAGAAAACCCAGAAACAACACAAATATAAATAAGTGGTTAATTTCTTTAATAGACTTTATTCAACTATGAAAGTGAATGTAAAATTCCATGTAGTAGGATGAGCATCAAAAAGTACTGGAAAAGGGCCGGAGATTTAGCTCAGTGGTGCTGCCACGTGCCTCAGAAGCACAAGGTCCAGAGTTCGATCCCCAGTACAAAAAAAAAAGAAAAAAGTTAAAAAGTACTGGAAAAAGTAATAAAAGGACATTCAACAGAAAAACCAAACAATGTGATATATATATATATGGTATTATATGTACTAATATATTTATATATGTTTGAAGATATATATATATAAGGCAAAACTAATAATAAAACAAATTCGAGATTAGTGCTTTTCCACACAGATGACAAGGGGCCATAAAAGGAAGGAGGGGCCAGGCACGATGGTGCACCAGACCTGTAATCCCAGCCCTCTGCAGGCTGAGGCAGGGGAACCACAAGTTCCAGTTCTACCTGGGCCATGTAGTGAGGCTCTGTAAAACTAAAATTATAAAATAAAATACAGGTTTAGCTGTAGCTCAGTGTGAAGGCCTGGGTTCAACCTAATGTGCAGAGAGAGAAACAGAAGAGGAGAGAGACTGGAGGTTTCTCTTCGTTGTTCTGTTAATGGAGATTGCCCCAGGGCTTCCTGGGAGCTGGACAAGCTCTCCGCCACTTAAGCGAGGTGGTACGCGGATATTTTTATTACATGGTTCAGAGGACACACGATGAGGAGCCTTTCTTCCTTTTTTCTTCTTTTTTAAACATTGCTCTAGTCGACCCCAGAGAACCCACGGAAGACGAAGCTGTCATTCTGCCTCCTCTGGCCGCTTTGTGTTTTCGTTAGGGCCAGTCCTCCAAAGTCTCGCCTGCATTGCAGTGATCAACACGCTTTACAAACCTGTCCCTTTCTGTGCGTCCTGTCCTTCTGTCAGTTGCAGAAGAGTCGTTGGGCCTGGAACCTTGATCCCAGTCTACAACACAATGTTTGAGCTGGCAGCTCCGCTTGGGATGCAGCAGGCTGCTCTGCAGGCTCTCTGCAGTCTGCGCCCATCAGCGTGGAGGTGCGATTTCTAAGGCCTGCTCCGTCTCCGCCCTCTGGACAGCTGAGGCCTGCGGTACAGCTGCAGTCTGGAGAACCGCGTCGCCAGGAGGGTTTGCTTTGTGGCATCTGCTGCTACCTCCTGGGTGTCCCCACTGGCTGCTGCCCCTGGAACGGCCCCTCCTGCCCCAGGTCCTCCTGCCTCGCCCCCAGCCTCAGAGCCCCCCGGCTGCTGCTGGCTGCCCTGAGGACCTGGTCCCCTCCAGGCCTCCTCCCGGCCTTGATTGGCAGGCACAGCGGGCGGAGTCCCTGAACCCTCGCAGTGGAGGTGCAGCCGGGTCCCCTCCGCTTCCCCAAATTCTTCTGCACTCTCGCGACCACGTGACCACAACCTCACCCAGGCCAAACTGTACCCGTCCTCCCTCGCTCTAACCTCGGGGGCCCGGAGTCTCACTCCAGACTAGAGGAACCGAAAGCAGAAGAGCTGAGACACTGCGACCCCACCTCCGGCTCCCAGAGACTAGACGTTGGCGGCGCTGAGCCGGGGAGGCGGGGCGCTGCCCGGGCTCCCTGCCAGCTTTTTCCCGCTCTCCCCTCTTCCCTGAGCACAGCCCTAGGCTCCTGCGGAGGAGAACCGCTGCGGAGAGAGCCAGACACTCCTGGCACGGGGCAGGTGCGTTGCTCTCGAAAGTGTCTGCATCAGCCCGCACAGGTGTCAGGACCCGGCTGGGCCCTGAGCTCCCCGGTAAGTTACCCTGAAGTTCCGGGCAAGACTTGGAGTTTGGGGAGAAATCTTCACCCGGAAATCCCCAGGCTGCCGGCAGGCAGGGGGAAACGACCTGTCCGCCAGGAAACTGTGCTTCCAACTAAGGAGAACAGGGCCAAACCGAAAGGATGCAATGCTTTGGGGGTGATTAAGGGACAGCGTGGTCTCACTTTTAAAGCTGATGTCTGTCGGTAGGACCCAAAACTTATCTTTATGCAAATGACTCCTCAGATCAGCTTCTCTGCATCTCAGTTCTCTCTGGAACAAATCTCCAGTGTTATTTTCCTGGGGGAGCTCTTCCCGGAGGAGCGACAGACACTGTCTCCTCTTCAGGTGGGCTCGGCCTTTCCAGACAGACGTGATCCACTCTGGCAGAGCTTGCTAGCAACGTCAACCTCACTCACGTGCGTGTCCCCGCTGTGCATTAGCATCAATCAACTCGCTGTTCGGTGGGGGCTCGGGGTCCAGTTTCTTTTTCTGGACCTTCCCAGGTGCTGGCTGGGCCCATTTCATTCCTAGGAGTAAAGACAGCTTTGAAGGAGTCCTTGGACTCTTTGATCAGACTTTGCAAAGCTTGTGTGTTAGGCAAAGTTCTGCCCTTTCCCAGCAGCACCACACTGTGTCTCTGTCCTTGAGGCCTGTGTTGTAAAATATCATGGGAGGGACAGCGGCCGCTGGCTGTGCTATGCCTGTTTCCCGGCTGGCCCTGAGGTCTCAGGACTTCAGGGGGGTTTGCTTTAGACTTGTGAGTCATGAGAAAGCAATGGGGATCAGATGCTCCCTCTGGATCCACCCAAGGCCCCTTACAGCCGGGATCCCCTTTCCCCAGTTGTCCAGAGCAGCAAAGAACTGAGAGTTGGAAGGGGAAGAGGTGGGCGCCGGGATTGCAGAGAGCAGCAGGCCAGGCTGCTGTGGGGGAGCGAAAGCAGCAAGGGAAGCAGGAAGCCATTCTGGAAAGGGCGCCCTTCAAACGCTTAGCTGCGCCGCCCTCCCTGCCTGCCTGATCCGAGACAAGCTCTCTCTCAGCCTAACAACAGAACATCTTCCAGTAGAACCCGCCTGCCCTGGGTGCTGGGTGCCCGGGCTAGAGCTGCCCAGTGCGGGGCACAGGGCCGCTTGGTGGGCGAAGGTGCCCTGGAGATTCTGGGGCTGCAGGCTCAGAGGCCTGGGCCGGAAGTGCTGCCAACCTGGGGGTCGGGAGAGCACAGGTTTCCTTTCAGGGGTGCTTCTTGGGCCACCCTGTGCTGCAGGGAGCTCTGGGAAGGCCTGGATCAGCGCGATCCCCGCCTCCTGCACACCGTCCTGCCAAGGAGCAGGAAGCAGAGTGAGCGGGAAGACTGAGCATAAGTCACAGGGCGGGGGCTCTTCCGGCTGACCCTCAGGGCCCGAAAGTGCACGCGCTGCACGACCCTGCCAGGATCTCAGGCTGCTTCCCTGGGACTTCACCATTCTGTGCCATCTGCGGCTCAGATGGAGAGCACAGTTTAACACAACTTCTTAAAAACTTGTATTTTACAAATGGAACACACACGTGTAAATATAGCATTGTCTCTCTGGTGTGAGAAACTGAAAGTGAAAATGAAGACCAAAAAGAATAACACAGTGAAATGGGAAGAAACTGTTCAAAATTTTACAGAATGTGAGATACTTTGTGAACACTTGAAATGTTTTAAGCAAAAAAAAAAAAAAAAAAGATACAGTATTATTAGGAAATTTGCTGAGAAATTAGCAAATGAAAATATAGTGCTTGTAGATCATGATGCACAGTGTATTTATCATTGTTATTCTCTAATAATTTTTGCTATGAAAAATTATTCCTTCATAGAACAGCTTTTATATTTCCAGGTGTTAGTACATGTCGGTGGGACAGAATGATTACACTCATCGTGGGGAGGTGGTACACGTGCATAACACCTCTCAGTTCTTTTTTCATCTCCTCCTGTCTGTCCATGTCTTGGTTCCCTTCCCATTGTCACAAGATCTACCTCCCCGATCCCTTGATCTATCTTTTGTTTTGCTCCTTGATTTATTTCTACTTTGAGTTTATCATATAAAAGAAACCATGTGATATTTTACTTTGTCTGATTAATTTCACTTAACATTACAGTCTCAGCACATTTTTTAACTTTCCGACTGAAAACTCCTAGATAGGGTATTTTTGTCTGCATTTAAAGTCTACCTGTGCTCCCCACTTTGGAGTTAGGCTATCATGTCTCCTCCCTCAGCTATACTTTCTCCAAAAGCAAAATCCAGATGTGCCTCGCTATCCACAGTAGGTGTGGGGACAGCTGTTAGACATAACCTTCGTAGTGTTTAGTGCACTACCCAACACATACAAGAGTGCTCTGTAGAAGAGATGTTATTGTTGGACTCAGTGCACTGCACAGATAAACTATCCACTCGCTGAGGTAACATCCCTGAGGAGAACAAGCCAGAGCTGAAGGGGACAGGTGAGGTGTGGGACCCCAGTTTGCCTTTACCTTTGCACCATTAATGACATCTATGAACATTCTGCTCTAACCTGAACCTTTTTGAAATTAGGACTTAGTGGAATCCTGTTTCATCTTCAAGCCATCATGAGTGGTCAGAAGCGCAGGTCCCAGAAGGTCCCACTTGACATAAAGAACAATATGAAAATAGAGGACTACTTTCCTCAGGTACGTCTGTAGATACAGTGTGTAGTGCATCCTGATATCAGACGGGCTGTGCTTGGCCCTGGGTTGCATAGTCCTCCCTGCTAAGAAATTGCCTCATTGTCTACTGGGAATATTACATAAGTCACCGTCTTTCGCGTCAACTTGACTTGTTCTGTGTTGGCGGGTAGCGTAGGGAAGGGAGCTGTGATACATACTTCAGCCAGATCAAAGTAGCTTTCTTAAAAAGCTATTGGGCCGGGGATTTAGCTCAGTGGTTCCACCGCCTGCCTCGCAAGCGCAAGGTTCCGAGTTTGATCCCCGGTACCAAAAAAAAGCTATTGTAGTGCTCTTGAACAATAACAAAAAATAAAATTTATTAGGGTAAACTGGACAAAAGCAGAAGGGAAGTTAATGTGTTTCATAACATGGAAATCACATATGGCCAATATATTGGATCATAATGACGTGTATTTGAATGACTTTATGGTTTGTGGAACTCTTCTTGTGTATTTATTTATGCTTACCATAACCATGGTAGGCAGGTACCAGGATTTTATCTCCTACAAATGCAGTCAGTGCCCAGTCCTGCAGTGGGACGTGGGCCTGACTTCCGGGGACAGGAGCTCTGGGCTGTTTCTAATCTCAGGGCTCTATGGCAGTGCCACACTGCTGTGTCCTTTCCCGAATCTAAAATCTCCTTAATTTATCAAGAAGCAGGCTGAGAAATGTTAGGCATCTGAGAGAGCAACCTCAAAGCTTTGACCCTCTTTTGTCTCATCCCAGTTCTAGAACACCAGGACAACCAAGTACCTAGAAAGTCCAAGCAGGCTTGATCTGCTTGTCTCTGGCCGCCTGCTCCATGACAGAGTGAGCTGGTAACCATGTTCACCTCCCTGCTTCCCTCTCAAGAGTGTCTGCCCCTCCAGGGAGCCCTCCCATTTGCTGGAAGTCCGTTCCAGTGCTCCCGGGGTGCAAACAAGGGTGTGTCTAGCAGCACTGGGCAGAAAGGAAGCTTTGACAGTTTGTGTGCTTGGCCAGAGTAAATTTATATTATCTTATGTTCTTGTATCTTTTTCACTCTGAATATTAGCATTATTACAAAACAGGAAAATAAATTTAACCTTGTACATGTCCGCCCTGGTGGACACTCTGCAACAGAGTGATGTTAGGCCTAATCTTTACTGAAGCCCTGGCCTTGTGACTCGCATGAGCAATGAGCAGTAAATGGTGTGGCCAGTGGCTGAACCAGGCCTGCTGACTCTTGCCATGGTGAATACGACTCTGAGAAGATGCCTTCTATACCTGGGAATCGGTGTCCTTAATTCTTCATTGCATTTTTGCTGTTTAATTAGCTGTCATTTTTAAATTGCTGCTTCTTCCCCCTCCCGTGACTCATATGATAATATCCTACAAAAACTGGAATCTTGGATGCAAAATTTATAGAACTGTTACACAGTCTAATGGAAATAAATATTAGACTAAATATTGGAGTTCTGACACTCTCTTTATTTATTGGCTATTATGTGACCTAGGAGGGGCACTTATCAGAGCAGGTCCCTGTGCCTCAGTTTCTGCATCAAGAGAATGGAGAGGTGGAATGTGTTCCTCCTCATTTCACAGGATTTAGGGAAGCAGTGATGGGTCAGAGAAATAATCTGAGGTTTGTACACAATAGAGGATAGGTGAATCAAGGTATTTATTATTGGAAATAATTATCTTTTTAGGACCAAATAGTTAAATGATGACAGTTTTGTTTAATATCTAATGCCTGATAATAAACCACAGTCGCTTATTCTTATTTGGTGTTTCTAAGAAGGGACATTTTAGATCAATGTATCACTATGCTTGGAAAATGTAAAAATTATATAGCTAAAAACAGTACACAGGACCTGAAATAGCACCATAAGGAAGTTTGTAGATTTTTAAGCATCAGGGGGAAAGGTTGTGTTTCTTCCCTAATGTTTGTCAGAAAAAGTCACCAGTGTGTAGTGTGCAGTGCCTATGTGACGGCTGTGACAGGAGGCTCAGCTTATATTTTGGACTTCACATGAAATTTGCATTCTATCTATCTGCTTGCCTTTTGGTTCTGAGTTTCCTGTAGAACCTCTAGAAGTTTCATGTTAAAAAAAAAAAAGACTACGATTGTATTCAGAGTTTTTAAATATGTCATACTTATTTTTAGGTCCCCAAAGAACAGCAGAACAGTTCCAGTATTTCCCAGGTGAAGGTGAGATCTAGCAAGAGGCTGAGGGATATTACTAATACCCAGGGTCAAGGGTGCAGTTTTCCTACGCAGACTCCAGAGGACCAGACCACGCCCCTAAAGACCATTTATGTTACCCTGAAGGTAAACCCCAGGAAACACCAAAACATGGCAAACATGCTCACCCATAGTGAGAGGGCCAGCTTATATGAGGCACTGCACACTCTCGATGCTGTCAAAGAAGAGGCGAAAACTCACCAAGGCAGAGAAATGCTGGTATGTGGCAAAGAAGGAATTGAAGGGTTCCTAAACCTCACAATGCCCCTTAGTTGTCTTCCTAATGGGAGCCATGTGGAAATTACTTTTTCCAGACGTGTAAGTGAGCAGAAAGATGATAATAAAGTATTTGGCTGTTGTGACCGAGCATCTACTGACTGTGTCAAATTTTACATTCATGCAGTTGGGAAGGCAAGAAAAAGGGTTACTAAATGTGAGGAGCTTTGCAAAAAAGGGAACAAACTCTGCGTCTTTGGTATCAAAGGAGAAACCATCAAGGATGCCCTGTGCCGGGATGGCAGGTTCCTTTCCCTTCTGGAGACTCACCATTGGAGGCTCATAGGAACACTGACCTCCAGTGTAGAAAGCGGCCAGCTAGTCGACGCCATGGAGGGCAAGCTCTACCAGCTTGAGGTTGAGAAGAGAAACAGCAGGAGGGCGGCAGCCACACAGAGTTCTGAGTTAGAGGAACATAATGCCTGTGTGTTGAAAGAATACATTGTGCAAGAGTATCCCAGTTTGAAAAGAGAAAGGGAAAAGATCAGAGAAAACCTCAAGAAAGAGATGAAAATAAGAAAGATGAATGCAAGTTCCTTAGTTAAATTACATAGAACAGACTTCGGGAAACAGACAAAAAATTCCACTCCAGTTAGAACACTCAAGCTTCTTTCACAGCTCAGTGACTCGGTCGGATTCTTACGCTGGGACAATAATGGAAACATGGGCTGTGCTACCTGCTTTGTCTTTACAGGGTCATTCATTCTCACTTGTCGGCACGTGATCCATCACATTGTCGGGGAAGGAGCAGAACCGAGGAAGTGGGCAGACATAATCGGGAAATGTGTATGGGTGACTTTTGGTTATGAAGACTTTGCAACAAAAGACGACAACTGGTTTTTCATTGAACCTTGGCTTAAGATATCTGATGTAACTGTCGACTACGCTGTCCTGAAACTCAAGGAAAATGGACAACAGGTACCTGTGGGGCTCTATAACAGAATTGCTCCTGTACCATCAAATGGACTGATATATATTATTGGCCATCCTGAAGGAGAAAGGAAGTCCACTGATGCTTGTGTCGTGATTCCTCAGAGTGAGCGAGAACAGACGTGTGAGAGAAATGTCAGAGAATCAGTGCCTGACAGTGATCCTGTGTACGTCCACATGTACACACAAAGAAGTTTCCAGAAAATTCTTCACAACCCTGATATTGTTACCTATGACACCAGTTTTTATTGGGGTTCTTCTGGCTCACCAGTGTTTGATTCACATGGCTCACTGGTGGCCATGCATACTGCTGGCATCACTGATAAGTACTTAGGGGGGACATTTCATTTCATTGAGTTTGGCTCTGCTGTGCAATGCATCCTCTCTGATATCATGCAAAATCATAAAGAGTGGTTTGAAAAAGAATGTGTAAGTCAGCAGGATGTCGAAATGCCAAGTCAAGAGAATTGAGGACTGATAAGCACTTGCCTGTGCAGTTGCTACTCCATAGCAGTGATTATGGTTTTCTAACTTCCAAAGTGGTCAATTTCAGAAAAATTAAAATAGTTGATATTATAGACCAGCTATGTTTGTAAACCCATGAAAAAACTAGTCCTGTTCTAAGGTGCAGTTTAATTGTCAATTGCTCACTAAGGTTCCTGTCCTCTTCTAGACCTTCAAAGGATGATGGCTCATCAAACAACAAGACCCATCTTGCCTTGTCTCCTTCAAATCGGTCACCGTGAGACTTTTAATCCCTGGCTAGGCTGGGTCAACACCCCTCCTCAGCCTGAAGCAGTTGTAAGAAGACAGACCCTCAGCCCCTCTGCACCCCTTAAGAATAAGGAGTCATAGCCCTGGGGTTGGGGATCAGGCAGAGTAGAAGTAAAGAAGGTAGGAAGGAGACAAGGAAAGTTATGACTTGTAAATCATACTTTTAAGAAGGGTGTGACTTCAAGACACTGAGCTACCAAGGTTATCCCCACCTCTGCACCCTTGAGCTTGTTCGTGCTTCTTTTCTTCCAGGACCATCATACCACAAACCCTTGGGAGATAATCTAAGTCTATAAACTAATTTAATTGATAAAGTAAAGACCTTACGAGAAGTAGATTCAAAAGTTTGCAATCATGTTTTTAGGCCAAATATTTTAGATGGCTCATCTTTAAAAAAATACAGTATACTGGGCCCTGTGCCTTTCTCCTGTAAAAGGAGCCATTATCTTCCTGCTTGTGGGTGGGTCATCACTTTTTTCCTGTAAATTGAGTCTATAGATTGACAAATTCCACTCCCAAAAACATAAATATTCCCTTCTTTCACTATAATGTACCTCCCTCCCTTTTGAAGGCTCACACTCTATTTCTTGGAGTATGTACTGTAAAATTCTGCCTTATAATCCCTTTATGTGTCTTTTAAAAAATTAGTTCTAGGGCCGGGAATTTAGCTCAGTGGTTTCGCCACCTACTGCGCAAGCACAAGGACCCCAGTTCGATCCCTGGTACCAAAAATAAAGAAATAAAATAAAAAATTAGTTCTAACAACTCTATGAAGTAAGTTATTGCCCCTATTAAAGTCAAGCAATATGAAGCATGAGAAGATGATCAGTTTCATGACAATAAATGTCATGTAACTTGATTTTTTTCAGCTTCAGTTTCTTCCCCTAAATTTACTTGCCTCAGAGAAGCAGCTCAAATTTGTTCATCTAGTTATCCCCAATATCTGACTTGTGAGAGTGGGCACTTAGAAAATGTCGGGGTTAACCAGAAGACAACCTGGGGCTGCTGTTCACATTCCCTGAGGAGCTGAATGGCTATTAAGAGGTGATCACAAACAAAGTCCTTCAGAATTTCCAAAATCCTCAGTTTGCTGAAACTGTCGGAATATGTGTCCTGAAAGTCAGAGGGCCATATCTGCTTTTCCCACATTTATAGACTATGAGAACAAGCAGGACGTCTTTTTAAAAATCATACCAATTTACTCAGATTTCCTCTGTTTCTCTCTGATTTCCTTTGTTCTGTCCGAGATCCCACCCAATGCTCACATTGCATGTGTCATGTCCCCTGAGGCACCTCTGGGCTGTGACAGCTTCTCAGCCCTCTGTTTTGATGACCTTGGTAGCTGGGAAGAGCGCTGTCGGGCATTCTGTAGGACACCCCATCTGCTGGACTCTGTCAAATGTTTTTCTGATGATGAGACTTGGTAATGAGTTCTGAGGAGGAAGATGGCAGGAGAAAACACCATTTGGGCCCTATCATACCAAGGCTCCTACTGTGCAGTGATCCGTGACTGTTGGTGTTAAGCTTAATCGCCCGGCTGTGGTGTTTGTCAAACCGGACCCAGAGTCTCTCCCACTCTTTTGCACCCTGCGTGCTCTGACCTCTGTATGTGTGGCCTCCAAACTTTTCTGTACCCATCAAGGTCCTCCCATGCCCTTCCCAGCCTCTCGGAGGCTAAGCACTCACTCTACCATGGAGCTACAATGAGCCCCCAGGAGTTGTAAGTAATAACATGTTCATTTCCATCTGTTTCTCCTACTCACTCAAAGTGGGCTCTCCATATTAAAGATTCTCAATTTAAGGAGAGCAGAGAAATATTTGTGTGTATATTGACTTGTACATATACACATATCTATAAATATTTGTAGAGGTAAACTTCTGTATCTACAATAAATTAAGAAATTCTTGCTAATGTCTCCAACTGTGATCCATAACCTGCAGATACTTAGCTTCCTCCCCTTGCTCATCTATAAATCTGCACCCCAAATGTGGGAAACATGGCTGCTACATCCTTCAATCATTTACTTCATTGTTAATACATATATGGCAGCCACAAATGTGTCAACCTGTACCGGGATGGGAAATCACTTTCTCAATCAACTGGACCATAGTGCGTATGTGTAGCTTCTTTTTGCCTTTAATCCTATACGCTCCTTTCCTTCCCAGAGTTACTTAGGTCAGTACCTTTTCCCTCATCCCCTTGAGTGAGATTGTTTCATAGATTTTACAGCACAATTATACATGTGCTACATTTAGATTTTCTTCTTATAGCCTACATTCATTCATTCTGTCCTTTGATACATTCTCCTCCTAAATAATGGCTTAAATTTGTATACCTCAGACCCTCTGTATATGCTGTACAGGTCTGTGGGTTTTAACAAGTCCATAATGTCATACACCTACCATTACAGGGTCATACAGAATAGTTTCTGCACCCAAAAGTCCCCTATACTTCATCTACTTCTCTCTTCCCCTTTTCCCAAGCCCCTGGCCAAGGCTGATCTTTTTATTGTCTTTATACCTGTAGCTCTACCAGAATGTCATAATTGTAGTCATATAGTGTTATGGTTTGTATCTAGATGTTCCCCCCAAAGCTTCATGCTCTCATAGTGGGGCTTTTGGAAGGTGGCTGGATCATGGGTGTGTGACACTGGGATTAACAGTGTGTGGTACTGGATCAGTCCACTGATTGGATTATCGTAGTTCTGGCTGTGACTGAATCAATTTACTGAAAACAGATGCCCCACCCTGCATGTGGGTACACCAAGCAATAGACTTGAACCCTGGATGGAATAAAAGGAAAGGCAGGCTCACTGCTGCTGCTTTCTGCCTGCCCTGCCATGGACTGTTTCTCCTCTGCAATGCCCCTCTGCCATGTGCCACCCTGCCTTGGAGCCAGCCAGCCATGGACTGAAACCTCTACAAACTGTGAGCTGAAATACACTTTTCCTTCTTTAACTTTGAGTGTCAGGTATTTTGTCTCAGAAATGAGAAAACTAACTAAGACATACAGTATGTAGCCTTTTCAGACTGACTAATGTGCAATTCAAGTTTTTGTATATCTTTTGTGCCTTGACAGCTCATTTTTTTCCAATGCTGAATAATATCCCATTGCATGGACTTACCACAATTTGTATATTCAGTCACATTTTGAATAAGGTCTTCAATGCTTCCAATTGCTTGTGATTATGAATAAAATTGTTACAAGATCTTGTATTCTGATCTTTCATGTGACCTAAGTTTTCAGTTCAATTGGGTAAATACCAAAGAGTACAACTGGTTAATTGTATGGAAAGACAATATTTACCTTTGTAAGGTTAATATGTACCTTGTAATCTACCAAACTGCATTCCAAAGTAGCTGCACTATTTTCCATTTTTACCAAAAGTGAATTTCCCTATTCTCACCAGCACTTGGCATCAGGCTTGTTTTGTTTTGTTTTTCTTTATGCCTAGTAACACTGTTGGAATGCTGGGATTTTTCAGGGAACTATAAGATTTATTGATGAAATTGGGGCTGTCTTGGATGATCTAAGTAATGTATAGAGTTATCGTGTTGGCCTGAATTCATTCAGAAAAAAATAGAGCTACTATAAATAACACAGGACAAGAGATTTAGTTAAGAACTGAGGGTTCTGTGAGTAGGGGAGGAACAGAAGAAGGGAAGACTGCAGCTGGAAGGAGGAGACGTTTGCTGACTGACATTCAGATTTCTGAGGAGATGCCATGTCTTGTCACCATGATGACACTAATTTGCAGAAATTTTGGAAAATTGCTACATCAGACCTCTGATGAATGAGAGCTCATGTGGTATCACAAAGTCCTGTCTGACTGTCCTGATCTTTCAAGAAATAGTGACAACTGCTTGATTTGCACCTTCCAAGTTCCTAACCCAGACTTTACCGGGATTCTGGGAAAAGCAGTTGTCCCCTGTAACAGCAGTAAGCCAATAATGGTCTCCTCAACAACAGAGAAGGAGGCTACATCACATACAATGCATGCACACGTGTATAGTCATAAATTAGTTTCAGCTGGGCGGTAAAGCCATGCCTAGCATAACATGTATCTTACAACTGTAGCTGATTACTGATGCCAAGTCATCTGTGCAATTACGATGTCCTCCAAATGAGTTGTGATCTAAACAAATCCAATAATCGGGCATTTTTCTTCCACTGAAATATCCTCCCATCATTAATACCTGATGCTATCATGGGAAAGTATTGAGTAAAAATATAATCAGGTGAAATCTGGAGCCAGGTATGGAGAAATACTTCCCTCCTTTCTCCTTCTGATCTCTGATAGAGCCCACTGCTTTTCAGTCATTGCTTATTTTCCTCGTGGCGATTTCAAATGAAATCACAAAGCCTTTAAGGATGGCCTTTCCCTCCTCTCTCACTTCTACTATCATTTCTCTTTGATTTCCTTCCATTTCACACTCACTGCTTTACTTCTTTCACAATGAAATATAAACGTTAAATTTTTGTCAAGCCTCCTCCTTAACGGCAGCCAGAAAAAAAATTGTGAATGTTTAGATTTCAAACATTCTGTGTATCCCCACTGTACTTTGTGCAACTTACTTAAGGTTCTTATCTGTAATTTAAAAAAAATATATATATATATATATATATATACACACACACACATGGCCTGCGTAGGACCTAAGCACTCTTTTGCGTACTTTCCATATGTTAACCCTAAGTCTCCACAGCAGCCCTCTGAGGTAGGTAATTTTATATTCTGGGTTCACTGAGGAGGGAACTGAGTCCCAGAGAGGATAAAGAACTTGGCCAAGGCCCGGGGATGTAGCTCAGTGGTTCCACCACCTGCCTCCCAAGCACAAGGTCCTGAGTTCGATCCCCGGTACCAGGAAAAAAAAAAAGAAGAAGAAGAACTTGGCCAAGCTTGCACAACTACAGAGACCTGCAGTGTAAATTCAGAGCCTGTGCTACTCACTCTCACGGCCTCTCAACATGTGAGGTGCACGTACTGAAAGCTCTTGGCAAGATTTAGTACCATGCCCTCAATGCTTTTTCTCCTTGTCCCTCAAACTCTGAAAACAGTGCTTTTATGAATTATCTTCACTTGTGTTGTACTGGGAGACTTGCTTTAAGGTCTGAAGAACAGGTCTAAGGATTTCCAGTGCTCTGCATGGAAAGAATGAAGAAGAGAAACAGGATTGAAAATTTTAAAGATGGGAAATGAAACAGTCCCTCTGCAAAATGTCTCACCTCCAATCACTCCTTTGCCCTTCGATCAAGCTTTTCTTTGTACTTCTTAATTTACTTACTGTGAAGTGCATTCTCTACTGGCATAGATTCCTGTGGGTTTGAACGCCTGTGGGTTCTTGTTTTCGGGATACAGAACAACAGCTACATCTAAAGAATCCCCATTACGCGCTCCTAATCTGCCCTTCCCTTTGCCTAATCCTTGCCAACCCCTGTCCTCTTCTCTGTAGGGATTGTTGTGGGGGGTTTTTCCTTACCTTTTTATGGCATCTTGCTTTTGCATTTTTCCTCCCAACCACCCCTTTCCCCTCATACTATTCAAATGTCACTGTTCCTGAGGATCTTCAGTCTCCTCCACTTGGCAACTGTACTCAGTTTCAGCGCCGCTTTTACCCCTCTCCCAGTCACCCCTTGACTGTGCCATCTCACTCCATGCTCTCTCACAAGCACACATCTGCAAGGCAAGCTGCCGAACACAGTCATCTTACACCCAGCTTGTTAAACACTGAGTCACACCAACTGACTCCAACCCCCTTCTTCATTGTTCATGTCCAATGTCACGACCACAATGTGTTCCAGACCTGAGTTCCCGGAACACTTCTTCTCACTCCCTTACCTTCTGAGTACACGTGTCCAATAAGCCTTGTGGAATCTCTGGCTTTCCTTAAGTGGGACCCTTCTTTCCAGGTCTTCATTTCTTTCCATTCTCTTTCCTGTCTTCCATCAATGACGTTATCATGGTAGCTAACATCTATGCAGGGTTTGATCTTTAGGGCCTTGCTAAAAATTGAAATAAAATATCATGTTTGACCTCTGCCTTCATCTTCAGGTGCTTACTGCGGTCATCTCAATGTTATAGTGACAAAACAAGGCTTCCTACATGTATGGGCATCCCAAGCCAGAGAGTGGATTTTGGACCATAGGTGTCTGTCTGGCTTCCGTGCCCCGGATGGAGCCACAGGGCACACCCAAGTGGCACCTAAGGCTGGCACTGCCAGAGGCTCTCACCCAAGCCTGTCCTCCGGCTTCCCTGGGGACAGTGTGTGAGAAGTGCAAAGATGTGAGAAAGCCCCAAGAGAGGTAAGGAGGGCCGTGAGATAAAGTAGGAGAACAAAGAAGCCTCCCATTTTCCAGGAAGCTAGAGCCTGCTGCAATGGCAGCACTTTGCCTGGCTGTGCCAGGCCCTCTCTCCTTCGCTGGAGCCAACGGGACCAGACCACTGGTCTGACTTTGTCAATCTCTCTCAAGCCCCGTTTCTTTCCTGCACTAACCCTTTGGCCTCTGGCTCAGGACTTGGGTCTAGTGTGCTTGCTGCTAGAATGGTTGCAGGGATCAGTGAACATGGAAGAGCAGGTCTCTTCCAGATCGTGTGGGCATCTGGGAGGCCCTGGACATGAAGTGTCACAAAGAGCAAGCAGGGAATGGGGCCCTTTGTACTCGGGGGGGCACAGGGCGGAGTCGGGCAGGGTGGACAGGCCTAGAGTAAGTCTCAGCAGCCCATGATGCTCAGGAGCCTGGCTTCCTTGAGAAGAAAGAAGGTCAGAAAGCAATCACACGGTCATAATAATCCCCAGGGAGAGAGTGTCCCAGGAGCCAACCAGTGGCCACCAGAGAGGTGACCAGAGCAGCGTAGGGAGGGGTGCGGAAATGGTACCTTCCTCTAGGAATCCTGGTCTGCATGCTGCTGTCGTCTGTGGATCATTCTCCTCCCCTTTTGGTCATTCCTTGAGGGCATATTTCTGGACCAAAATGAAATAAATACAATGTGCTTATCAGAGTGCATTAGGAAGTATAAAACGGAACAAAATAAACATTTCCCAGCCTAAAGTTCCTCATTTAGATTCTGTCTATGCAATTCATCAACTTCCTAAAATTCATGTTTTATTGTTACTTTGTAAGCCTTCTAAATTGGATATTTATGGTGCTTTTCCTTATTTGCAATTTATGCACACAGTAGGGAGAATTTTCACTTTCCTGTTGCACACATGCCCAGCAGAGGTGGAAGAAAGCCACCTTCTATTTTCTTTAATCTTTCATACTATAAACAATTCTCCTTTTCACTGTATACTTACCACTATAGATAGAAACTTTTGAGTTTTTTGTGATGTTTTTGTTGGTGATTTTTGCGATTTGGGGGGCCCCATCCACAGTAGGAAAATTATTCCTAGTGTTCCTAAGGAAAAGAAGTCTGTGATGTGCTTTACAGAAAAATACATATGTTGAATAAGGTTTGTTCAGAGGTGACTTACTGCACAGTTGGCTGTGAGTACAATGTTAATGAATCAACTACATAAGTTATATAAATTGTTTTTAAGAGAAACATACATATAACATGTATTGTCTGGCTGATAAACATGTAACCAGAGTCAAACAGAAATTTAGCCCTGGGTTACCCTTAAGAACTATGGTTCAATATTCTCTTCTAATTCAGTGTTTTCAGCAACTATGTAGATCGTGCCCCTCACAGATAGTGAGGACTGGATGATGAGTTGAACTGAACTGCCAATTCAAATATAGATGCAATCATCATAGGGACTGAAATTCATGTTACTTTCATTTATTAAACAATTTCTAAAGTGTTAGCTCAAAACCTGTTCAACAGGCAGAGAAGACGGTATCTACTATCCCTGTCTTCGGTGGAAGGAGGAAGGATAACTGAGTTGCTGCCCAAATTCCTGATACTTGGAGCAAAGATTGGGGCTCAAGTCATGAAATACAGTTCATTAACTGAGCTGGTTCATCAAACAAAGACACTGCTATGTCCACTACTGCATCTAAAGTACATTGCTCCCTGCATCACTTGGGAAATATTACAAGCATTTCAGAATACTACAACCACAAGAAATATCGTTTTCTGATTTTCTTTTGTCCTACCTCTGAAGACTATGAGGTTAGAAAACCCAGTGTAAAACGGCGTTCATCACACCCACTCCTCTCCAATTCCCAGTTACACTCCAAACTCATTCTCTCGTGCTACTCCAGAGCTCTCCTTGAAATGGAATAATGGGCTGGAAGTGGTTGTCTTGCATTGAACTGTGCTCCACAAAGATACATCCAAATCCTAGCCATGGACATGTGTATGTAACCCTGTCAGGGTAAAGGGCCTTTGCAGATGTAATTAAGTGTCTATAAATGAGATCATCTTGGATTAACCCCTGGCTCCAAATCCAGTAGCAAGTGGCTTACAAGGAAAAGACCCATTGAAGGCAGAGATTGAAGTGATAAATCTACAAATGCTCCTCGGTTTACAATGGGCTTACATCTCTATTGTAAACTGAAAACACTATAAGTCAGAAATGCACTTCACACACTTAACCTACTAAACATCATGGTTTAGCTTGGCTTGCCTTCAACATGCTCAGAACACTTACATTAGTGGGCAAAATCATCCAACTGAAAGTGCATTTTATAATTAGGTGCAGAATATCTCCAATAATTTTTTTTTATACCAGGGATCAAACTTGGGACCTTGCACTTGTGAGGCAGGCAGTGGAACCACTGAGCTAAATCCCAGGCCCTATCTCCAATAATTTATTGAATCCATATGCTGTAGAGTACAATCTTGGATCTGTACACTGATGACTATGTGGTTAACTAGGAGAAGCTAAATGTACCACATATTGCTAACCTGGGGGAAAATCAAAATCCAAAACTTGAAGTACAACTTCTACTGGACACATATTTTCCCCACCATCATAAAGTTAGAAAGAACCGTAAGTCCAACCACCCCTCGGTAGGGCACATGTGTAGAGGCCAAGGATTGGCAGCAGTCATCAGAAGCGGCGATGAGGTACGGAACAGGTGCAGCCCCCAAATCCTCCAGCAGGAACTGATCCTGTGGACACCTTGGTGTGAGACTTCCGGACTCCAGAGCTGCTCTGTAAGACACTAGGAGTCTGTTGCTGAAGCCTCCAGGTTTGTGATGATTTGTTACAAGCTCGGTGGCCTAAAATGACATAAACACATCTTCTCACGGTCCCAAGAGGACAGAGAGGTGTGATCTGGGCCATGCACTCCCCGCCCAGACCTTCCAGGGGGGCTGCTCCTGGTCTTCTGTCTGCCTGTGTCCCATGGCCTGAGGCCTCGGCATCCAGGCTCTGCCTCTTGCTCAACCTGCCCTCCCCCTCTTCCGACTGCCCAAAGCCCCTCCTGCCTCTTTCATACGGCCACAAGAAGCCCATCCAGGTAATCCGGCACAATCCTCTCTCCTCAGTGTCCTGCACCTAACCATAGCTGCCGAGTCTGTCGTGGAGCGCAACAGGGACAGGGTCTGGGGTGGGGATGTGGACCAATATCTAGACACCACTGCTAGCTTACCATGAGTACCGTGGTGATGGTGACTGGGGAAATGTGCCTCCCAGATTCAGGGATCAGATGCTCTGTTTCCACTTAGTTTCTATTGCTTAAACTGCTTTTAATTCATTGTTTTCTAAAGTTAATGCTTATAAATGGGAATGATAATGCAAAATTCATACAGGAAATCATGTAATCTAATGAAAAAGCTAGATAGGCAAAGCGTTTGAGTCTATTCTCACTTCATGCATAATAAGTGACTTCAGGATAAAATGCTTTTCTTTCTGAGTTTCCTTTTCAAGCACTTAAGCCATATTTGCATTTCACTTTTCATTGCATTTTTGGAATAAAAAAAAAGAGGTGTTAAAGCTTACTTCGGCAATAGCATTGCTATGCTTGTCCTGAATGTTTCTCCCACCTGCTCACTCCAGATTCAAATGTTGAGGGCCACACTCCAGTGCGATGGCGTTAAGAGGCCGGACTTCAGGGGACAGCAGTTAGTCAGGAGGGTAAGGCCCTCATGAATGCATTGATGCCCGTATAAAAGAAGCCCTGGGAGCTGTTTCAGTGGCACCTCTGCCCTGTGAGGACGCAACTAGGTGTCCTCTAAGAGGAGCAAATAGGTCCTCACCAGACACCAAATACACTGAGGGGTTTTTTTTCCAAACATTGAGCCCAGGAGCACTCTTCCACTGAAATTCATCTTCAGTCCTCTGGAAAATTTTTATTTTGGGGGTTGGGGATGTAGCTCAGTGGTGCCACACCTGCCTGGCAAGTGCAAGGTCCTGAGTTTGATTCCCAGTACCAGGAAAAATAAAGAAAATTTTTAGTTTGAGACAGGGTCTCACTAACTTGCCTAGACTGACCTGAAGCTTGCGATCCACTTGTCTCCTGTGTAGCTGGGATAATAGTTCTACACCACTGTGCCTAGCTTGAGAAATAGATTTCTGTTGTATATAAGCTACCAGTCCGCGGCATCGTATTATAGCAAGCCAAGCAGGCTAGGATGACAAACATCCTGCACCCAGAGGGCTGGCTAACTAATATTACAAAGTGCTTTTTTTAGTAGAAGAAGGATAATATCCACATGAGATAGGTTCCGGAATACAAGAAGGCTCCCTGGGACCGGGTAGCAAACCTGTCACCAAGTGGTGGGGAGAGAATGGAGTGGCACTGAAAAGCCCCTATGGACCCACCTGTTAAGGAGTCTACATGTGCAGGGGAAAGATGGAAACGCAGCCCATGCTTCGACTTGTATTCATGTTACTCTCTTCCTCTGGGCAGGGGCAGGGAGGGTTGTCCTCATGACGCTGGGGAAAGCGACGTGACTATGGTTACTGACAATGATTATGGTGTCAGCAAGTAAGATCTCGCTCTCTGATATCTAGCTCTGGGTGGCTTACAACACTAGAATTCCCTTTGGTTGAAAACAAACCAGCCATCAGAACTGAACATAAGTGAAGCGGCCAATTTCCCCTCCTTTGGCACTTCTTGAACTCCCCCCCATCCCACCCCATCCCATTGCCACCACGACCTCCGCTGCTTATGGAGAAAGATAATTAGAGCCAGGACTGCACTCTCCCGTCCCCAGAGGGAGCTGAGGACCATGCACACCCGTGTCCCTGTGCGGGGGACTTCAGGAGGGAAGGGCTCCAACTTGAGGCTCTGCTGGGTTCAGGCAAAGACAGTGGCCAAAGTCACTGAAGGTGAAAGGGTGGACGCGGGGAAAGGGGGTGCGCAGGGGCAGGGAGCGGCCTCTTCCTGGGTGTCACTGAATGGACAGAAACGGGCACTGGTGCTTGGGCACCAGCTCTGGGGCACGGAGCTAGAGGAGGCTGGCGATCAGGTGTCCGGTCTGCAGCGTCCTCTCACCTGGCTACCTTGCCCCTTCTCCCCGAACCCCCTGGGCTTCTGAGCAGGAGTAACTGTGCTAGCTTCTATTTTCATTGTATCCTACAGAAAGAAAAGCAACAAACTTCAATGCTCAGGGTTCAGGCAAGACTTGTTGTGGGGAAGGGAAGCAAAGGCAGCTCATGGGGCCCCTTGGTGGATTCCGGGTGCTGTGTGGGGCGATGCGTTGGGTGCCTGGACGTTCCCATCTCAGAAGGGCTCCTCCTGCTTGGCATCTGCTTCGTGTCGGACGCAGACTCAGACCCATTTCTCGGCCCCTCTGGACAGACTGAGAGAATCCGAGGAGAGGGCGAACGCTCCTCCTGAGGAAACGCAAACAGGGAAGGGCTAGGAGCGCACACGGGCCATTTCCTAGCTCAACGTCGCCACCTGCCTGAAGCAGCCGTCAAGTGCAGCCCTGCCAATCAGGCAGCCGGAACCTGGGGACAAATGGACTGGGGGACCCAAGCGCCTCTCCCATCGGGCATCCTTTTGGGGATGGTTTAACGGAAACGCCTTAACCAAGGAAGTGTCCGAAAGGTCTTGGTAGTTAAACGCAGATGGAATATTCGAGAGTTCAGCTAGTACGGTCTGGGGATCATCGGTTTTACAAGAAAAAGTGACAGCACTTTGAAAAAAACTGCACCATGATCACTTGAATTTCATTAAAGAAACACCCGGGCCTGGCACAGCTGCATTGCAGGTGGCAGGAGACAAATCCAACTGGAGGGCCAGAGCCCCCTAAATCAGGGCACGCTGGAACATCCCATCCCAAAATAAGAGAAATCATTGAATCTCGAGTCTTCTGCTGGGAAGAAGGAAGCGCACTGCACAGAGGGGCTCTCTGGGTTCTGAAGACAGAGTGAGCCCCGTCCGGGAATCCTTTCTCACCTATGCACCGTGAACACCATAGGCTGGCAGCCTTGAACGGGGCATAGATACGAAGTTTTGGCAAATGAGCCGAGCTGATAAAAACAGCACTGCTCCTAGGACCACGAAACTTAGCTACTCCCAAGGTGTTAGACGTGTGAGATGGGGGAAAAGATACGCCCTGAAGAAGCAGGCCCGATGGCATACGTGTGTAATCCCAGCCCTTTGGGACGCTGAAGCCGGAGGACTGCAAATTCGAGCCCAGGCTGAGCAACATAGCGATTTAGCCAGACCCTTGTCTTAAAATTTAAAAAAATTTTTTAAAGACCAGGGATGTAGCTCAGTGCAAAGGCTCTGGGTTCAGCAGTAAGGCCAATGAACTGAGATTCTAAAGCAGTGGAGATTTTTTTTTTAAGTTTATTGGTACATTTTAGGTATAAAATACAGTTATA